TACTAAATAGGTGAAAATAAACATACCTCCCATTTTTGTCATCTTCATGAATAAAGGAAGACATGGTCTGTCTGCAAAAATTTCACTTTGATGAACAAGGCATTCCTTTACCACATCATAGCCATTTAGAACCACAGCTGATATGCCTCCAAGATCTAAACTGAAGATCTTTGATAAGAGAAGAAAAACAACATTTACATGGCAGAATGCCTGGAGAAATATAACCATGGAAATCCACAAGCACTAAGACCAGCTCCCCCAGTATTTGTTACTAAACTGACAACATTTAGAGTGCCTTCCCCCTATAAGGCATGTCAAACAGCGTGATTTCATTACTCTATTCAGTGCCTGAAGTCATAATCTTACCAATGGTATAATGAAAACAGTAATGGACTCAGGAGGCCTGAGTTCTAGCTTAAGGTTTGCCATTTAACAGATGTAAGACTCTGGGCAGAACGCTTAACCTTTTGAGGCTTCAGTGTTGCCATAGAGAATATATTTCATTTAGATGCTCTTTTAAGATTCATTCCAACTCAAAACATTCAATGATATCTAGGAACCTTCTTTTATTTCCAAGATGAATGAGGAAGCAGCACCATCTAAATATTATTACTCCAACCTAGGTTAGGTAGGAGATTGTCAAAGTCTTGAGAGACAACTTTGAAGTATAAACATATTGTAACTAGGCTCATTTGTATTTGGCTCTCTGAATTCCATGAAGTTAACAAAGAGGGTCCTAAGGGAACCTGACCTTGGAGGAAAGGCATTCACCACATAGGCATAGGTGGTTGCCCCTCAGCTAAGGGGAAGGCAAAACAGAATATCCATCCTATGCCTTGCTGGAGTTGTCTGCCATGTGCCTCACCTTAGGTTCACTTACAGTGTCAAACCTCCTAGTCTAGGCTAGCTAACCCAATGTAAGAACCTGGTCCAGTGAGAGAACAATGTTACCTTATCAGTGGGATGCAAAGATTGCTTATTGCCATCCTCTCAGGGGTTGCCTGAGAGCTTTTCATAGTCAAAGAACAGAAACAAGCCTTATCTCTGTGCAAACAAATGGAGCAGATTTAGCCATAGCACACACTACTTCAATAGAAAACAGGATTAGCAGAGAACAAAAACTCAGCAGAAACAGTTCTATCAGTAAAGGCGATAAAAGAATCAACTAGCTGAGCAAAAGGGCTACCAGAGTCTTTTGCAGAAAGGTGGACCCTGCCAACTGAGCAGCAGCTACATCCAGAACGTTGGGGAAAGAGCATGGACTGCCTGCCATAAGCAGTGATATTATTAGTTAAAAGTGGCAGTGGAAGAGTTTTGAGCAAAAGGGAATGGCTACCAGGTGACCAAAGGGAAGACCCTTTCAGTTCTGAAAGTAGTAAGTGATATTAAAGGAAAGTCTTTTCCCAGAAGTGTAATTTTAGCAGAGACAATAAAAGATGGCATTAATTAATGGGAAGTGGTCCTGATATAGGAAAAAAACAGACTAATAGATGATTTCACAAGGAAAGACCCTGGCACAGAAAGTTGTGTTCCTATGAAGGCAGGACAGAGAGCAGATGTATTTCAGGGTAAAGCTTCAGGCTGCGGACACCAGGAATTATTAATATAAAAATCAAATTACAGTGCCTCATGCCTGTAATCCTAACACTTTAGGAGGCTGAGGTGGGAGGATTGCTTAAGGTCAGGAGTTCAAGACCAGACTGAGCAAGAGTGAGGCCCTGTCTTGACTAAAAATAGAAAAAATTAGCCAGGCGTGGTGGCATATGCCTGTAGTCCCAGCTACTTAGAAGGCTGAGGCAGTAGGATCACTTAAGCCCAGGAGTTTGAGGTTGCTGTGAGCTATGACGACTCCACTGCACTCTACCTGGAGCGACCGAGTGGGACTCTGCCTCAAAAATAAATAAATAAATAAATAATTATCAAGGAGGAGCCATGGCATGTTACACAATCTATCAAGATTTGAGATAATCCTCTATTTGAGGGTAGAAATGGAGAAATTTTTACTTGGAACTAGTACCTTCTCTGGTATGTACTGTTTTCAGGGACTTTTGATAAAAATTTATGCTTCAAATTGTGAAAACTTATCCTTAAACTGCTTTGATTTATGGAAGGGTCTAAGATTAGGCTAATATATTCTTTGATTTATTCAACAATTTTTAGTACCTATTATGTGCTAATGATGATGCTGGCAGAGATGTAAACAGAAATACATGAAACACTTTCCTTGCCTTCTAGAAGTCACTCTATAATCTTCAAGTCTCTTCCTCTCCCCCAAACCAGCTCTACTCATAATTTTTCACTATTTCAGTTAATGATCACTCCATCTCTTCCTTCAAGTTCTTCAGGCCCAAAATCTTGCAGTCACCCACGTTGACTCACTATTTTCTCCCAAACCCCACGTCCAATTGCTCAGCACTCATGTTGTTTCTACTTTCAGAATATAAACCGAATCTGACAATTTCATATCGTCTCCATTACTGACACTCTGGTCCAAGTCACCTGCATTCCTCCCATGTTATCACAATAGCCTCCCAACTGACCTCCCTAATTTCACCCTTGTCTCTTCATAGGTAATTCATATGGCATACTCCTACTTCATGGCCTTTATGCTTGCTCTTCTCTTGGTCTGGAATGTTCTTGATATCCCTATAGCTTGCTCCTTCATTTCCTCTAAGTCTTTGTTCAGATGCTGTCTTTGCAGTGAGGCCTGCTCTGACTAACCAATTTAAAATTTGACTCTCTAGTACTCTCCATCTCCTTTACCCTTATTTTCCTTCATACTCTGTACTCTAACACTGCAGTCTCCAATCCCTGGCCATGGCCCAGTACTGGTCTGTGGCCTGTTAAGAAACAGGCTGCCTGAGCTCTGCATGCCACTGCCCCCCATGGAAAAACTGTTGTTCATGGATCCAGTCCCTGGTGCCAAAAAGGTTGGAGACCACTGAATTACACAATTTACTTATGTTTATATTGTTTTGTCTATCTTCCCCCCACTAGAATGTAAGCTTCATAAAGGCAAGGATCTGTTTTGTTCACGGATATAGCTCCAGCACCTCAGATAGTGCATAGCATATGATAACTGAAAATATACGTTGAATTAATGAATAGTGGTGGAGACATATATTTAAGCATATTACAACATCATAGACGAAATGCTAATAACAGACAAATGTGCAAGGTGTTGCTAATGAAAACTAATAAGGGACTGCCATACTTTTCAACCTTTGCTCAGTCTGTTTTCTGATTTGGAATGCCTTCCCTGACTGCCATACTATCCTAAACATACCAAGTCTTTAGGGACCATCCTCCACAAAGCCCTTCTTGGTTCACTCTTTCTATTTTTCTCTGCTTTGAACCACACAGCATATGCTTAGAAGCTCCCATGCACTTATTTAACACTACCTTGAACCAGAAACATTCATATTCTTGTCTTCTGCCTGCCTGCTAAATTATAAACTCCTTAGAAGCAGTGCTTTCATCTTTTCCATCTTTGAATTCTCCACAGAATTTCACTCAGCACCTTGCATAAAGTTGTCAGTATATGCTTGCTGTAAAAATAAAATAATAAGCTGTCAATTCCACTTGCTTTAAAGTAATTATTTTATTGTCCTTAAGTGCATTTCTTGAAAAGAATCTGACACAGCCACTTATATTGGCTTTGCTAACTAGGGAATGCCTCTTGAAATCTAGAGTAAGATTAAAGTTTAAACACTGCAGAAGTTTAAACATTCAGAGTGAATCTCTAAGGAAATGGTAATTTTTGGTGTGATATATTTCTATCTAAGATTGCCTTTAAAATGAATGTGTTAAGTCCTTAGGAAAGTTCTTCCTTTCAAGAATTATAAAGGAGAATTGAATTCACAGGCTGTATAAAAGTAGGTGTCACTTGAAGTGATCAGCATAAGCAATTTTAAAGTCCAGGTTTTTTTCTGTGAGCACACATCTCAAATTAAAAAGAGGCGAAAAATATAAAATTCTATTTACAAATAAGTTCTATAAACTTTCCACAACCTTCCAGAAGTACAGGAGATAATGGTCTCCCACTTGTGAAAAAGGTATAATATTTTAACAATTTATACCAACTTTGAGACTTCATTGAGAATTGGGAAATATCTCTAAGATAATGGGAGGTTTAATAATTAGGATAAAGATCGCATGCTGCTATAGCTTAATGTGTTTGGTGATTATCAACTTAAGTCTAAGGCAGAATCAGACAAACAATGTCTACTCTTCAATGCATATTCTTTTCATTCTTGGTCCTTCGTTTTTCCTCTGCCCTTTTTGCAGCTAATAGCACAGTTTAGCTCTATTTGATTTGTAATAGAGAGCCCTCTTTGTAAAGAACCATGGCCCCCTCAAACAGTGGTACCAGCAATAAAAACTAGTTACTCATGCCAAATTCTTCTCCATTAAACCAGATCTATCTCAAGATGACAGTTTTCAAGTACATTTATTATTTAATTTGTAACCTATTATGATAGGAGACAGATTGCCCCTGCCTGAAAGGAATAGTCATAGTAAACACAAAGTGCCTTTCAGTTCAAATATTTACATATGAAAAACTTGATTCCCTATTCTGTGAGAACCCATTTCAAATAACTGGCTTAAAAATACCTTTAAATTTACAAGCTGAATAAATCTGTATATAGTAACCAAGAACATGTATAATAACCAAAAACATTTGAGTAACACTATTGTTTTCAGTTATTAGTCTCACTACCTAGAAGAGAAAAAATTAAGATTCAGAGAAGTAAAGGTCAAGTTTAAGCTGGCAGAAGAGGATTCAACCTCTAGTCTCATGCTTTCACATCTTATGATTTCTCTATGCTGTTTTGTACCAACACATCAAATATATTTAATGAAAATCGTGAAAAATAAACTCAATTCCTATAGAGCTGGAGGGTGGAAAATAAAATCTAAGAATTATA